GCAAGTACAGTCGGACCGAGGTGTAAGAGCGAGGTCGCCTCGGGGAGGGTACCAACATATTTTTTCGCGTTTGTCGGATGTTCTTGTGCATCGTGGGGGAGGGTACCCTCGAGTGATATTATGGTTTGGGGGTGCTTTGGCCGGCGAAGGGTCTCATGTTCCATCACCTTCCTTTGATCAATGAACGGCTGGCGAAGTTCGGCGGAGCAGTTTCGGTCCCTTTCTGGATTTTTTAATTGTTGGTCCAAATTGGGATCATAATCTACTCCGCACCAAACCATACAGCTCATCACACGGGATGCGATCTCACGCGGAGTAGATTCTGCGCCGCCTGCTCCGCCGAACCGCAGTCCTTGCGGACCAGCGGACGCAGTCATCGCCTCCGCATTCGAATCGTAGGCATCGCCGAGCTGCCGAGCGATGAAAATCCCGGCCACGGCGATGCAGCAAGACACGGCAGGTTCGCGTCGTGCCGCCCAGCGGCGGCCGCCGCGGGCACTCGACGCGGAGCGCCGCCGGCGACCCGGACTCGGTCGTGCGTCGAACGAGCAGACCTTTCGGAGACGGCCGACCGTGCCAGGTTGAACGATCCCCCCGCGGTGTCGGGGACCGGCGCCAGGACCAACACGGCACGAGCCTGCCGTGAGAGAGAAACAGATTGGACGTCCTGATTGTTTCGATTGGTGGTCCTTGGAATTCCCGACCCATTCCCCGGGGCCGGCGTTTCGTTTTGAGTAGTTGTTCGTCGGTCCCAGGCCTGACGAGGGCCCCAGAGGTCGAAAATAGTAATTACACCTGAGAAAAAATGATGCTATGGATCTTGAGATCGATTGTGAGATCGATCATGAAATCGATAGTGGAATCGATAGTGAGAACGATTGTGTAGATCGTGAGACCGAGAGTAAAATCGATTCAATGAGATCGATCGCGAGATCGTTCATGCGATCTCTAGTGAGATCGCTTGTGAGATTGATAGTGAGACCGATTGTGAGATTGATGGTAAGATCGATCGAGAAGTCGGTAATGAGACCGATGGTAAGACCGATCGGTAAGACCGATCGACAAGAAGATCGACCAGGAACCCGGGAACCCGGGAATCTCGCCGCCCTCCGAAATCGGCCCGGAACCCGGAACCGGCAACCCAGGAACCCGGGACCCAGTTTGCCACCAAAATAGGCGGGGAATTTTCCCCAAATCCTTCAACTTCCGCTAGGACCCCTTCAGTACAAGCACTGATTGGGAAAAAACATGTCCCGTCCTCATGTTCTTGCATCGCGATCGTGTTTCTCTCGGAGAGAGAGAGAGAGAGAGGCACACGTACACACATATATATATATATGTGTGTATATGTGTGTCTATATATATGTATGTATGTATGTATGCATGCATGCATGCATGTATGTATGTATGGATGTACGTATGCATGTATGTATGTATGTGTGTGTATGTATGTATGTATGTATGTATGTATGTATGTGTGTATATGTATGCATGCATGCAAACAAACATACACACATACATGCATGCGTATACGCATTCATACATACATGCATGCATGAATACATGCATGCATACAGACACATACATACATGCATGCATGCATGCATGCATACATACAGACACACATACACATATAAATACAAACACATACAGACAGACAGACAGACAGACAGACAGACAGGCAGAGAGACATGCACACATACAAACATACACACAGACACACACATACATACATACAGACAGACAGACATACAGACATACACACATGCATGCGTGCATGCATAAATATGTGTATATGCACACATGCACACACATACATATATATATATATATATATATACATACGTACGTACATACATACATACATACGTACATACGTACATACATACGAACATACACACATACATACGTACATACATACATGCATGCATGCATACATACTTGCATGCATACACATATACACACATGCATACATACATTCATACATGTATACATGCATGCATACATACATACATACATTTACACATGCATACATACATGCATGCATACACACATACATACATACACATATACATACATGCATGCATGCATACATACACCTACATACATGCAGACATGCATGCAGGCATGCAGGCATGCATACATGCATGAATACATTCATACAGGCACACATACACATATACACACATACACACATACATACATATATGTACATATATAAGCATATACATACATTCACACATGCATGTAAACCCATGTCTATATATATATATATATATATATAGATATGAATGTATATGTGTAGATCCACGTGCACACGTACATACATACATATATACATACACACAGACAGACAGACAGTCGGCAGGCAGGCAGGCAGGCAGGCAGACAGACAGACAGACAGACACGCATGTACACATACTTGCACACAAACATACCTGCATGCACACATACATGCATATGTGCGCATATGACTGCGGCAAAGGGCTCCCCCCCTCAG